GCGGCGGCAGCAGCACGCATGACCCCCGACCCCGGCGCGAGGCGGGAGCTCGCCAAGCTTCCGGTCGCCCCGCCCCGCCCACCGCCCGCCGTCCTTCGGCCGCCACCTCAGCCGTGAGGGGGGGACGGGCGGCCCGGGCTTCCCCTCCGGACGGGGCTCCTCCGTGTGCTGCCGGCCTGCCAGCCTCCGGGACCGGCCGGTCTGCCGTCTCCTGCGGCCGCTGGCGGGACAGGCGGCCTCCGCCCCCCGCTCCTGAGCCCGCACGTTACGGGCCGCGAGCTCGGGCCGTGGTAGGGAAGGGGCAGCGTTTCTTTTGCTCTCGGGTTGTGAGAGCGCGACGACGGCGGGGGAGGGAAGGGCCGTTTTTGCGGGGAAAGAGACACCCGCCCTCGTTTCGGTCCTCTGGCGTCACGGCGGAGGTACTTGCTCTTATCTCCTGCCCTGTAAGGGACTTCTGCGGGCGCGTCTTCACTGAGAAAAAAACCGTGGTACGTTTAGCCCAACTGGAGGCAAATCCTATTAAAGAGGAAGGCGAGAGGCGAGAAGGGGATTGGTTAGGGGTTTTGCGTGATTTATCACGTTAAGGAAAAAAAATTATTCGACCTGTTTGCACAAAATACACCGTGCCCTGCGTGTGCAAGTTTTTTACCTGAAGTTACCTAAAGCTAAAAAATACCCAGAAAGACTCCCGATTTTCCAAGTTGTGATGTTCATGATTGTGCCTCCTCACCACTGTGAAATTACGGCTCAGAAAGTGCTACGTTTTTATTACAGGAAAATCCAAACTTCCTGGTTGGGGTCAAATCCCCACCTCAAACTGGGAACTACAAATTCTTGTTGAGTGCTAGTGTGGAGTGAGATGCTTTTCTGTTTGGTGCAGTCACCAACATTATTTTGTGGAATGTTCAGTTCATCCAGACAAAATACAATTTATAAACTTTTAATATTTTAATTGGGTTTAAAATTACTAAACTGAGAAAACTTTGGTAATCGAAGCCATAAGTTTGTGCTTAACTGTTACGGCATTGCTATTCTACGTTTTTATCAACAGAACCTCCAAAAGAATACCTTGCTGGAAGTATTTAAAAAACATGTAGATGTGGTGCTTAGGAATGTGGTTTAGTGGTGGATTTGGCAGTGTTTGGTTAACTGTTGGACTTGATGATTTCAGAGGTCTTTTCCAACCTAAATGATTCTGTGAAGTACGCTCTCAAGTGCAAAGAAAGGAAATGGATCTGAAGCAGAATCATAAGATGATGGATCAAACTCTCTTGCTGTATAGAACCACCCAATTTGTAGATCTCCTTTACAGTTCTGTCGAAATGCAAATAACTTTCAGATTTGTATATCAACACCTGGAAATATATTTTTCCCTTACCTCCACCTGCTTTTTCCAGCCTGTTAGAATAAAACAGATCACAGAGCAGCTAGGAAAAAAAAGTCTCATCCAAAAAGAATGAGAGGGGGACGGTTGGCTTTTAGCTAGGAAAATAGGTTAGCAATGGAAGTTACTAGGGTGGCCCTGTAAATATTTCTGTATACTACCAGCAAATCCAGAATAAGGGCAAATCCGGGTTAGATTTGCCTTGGCTAATGTATATATGTGCTCTGTATCAGTTTGTCAGTGACATATATTTGTCCACACATGTATGTATATATGAATATGCTGGTATTTAATACATGTTCTTAAAAATGCTGTATATTTAAAAATAATAAACACTGTTTTATACCTTCTGCATTTTAGTTTCTTTTAGAACTTTATAAAATTAGAGCAAAGAAAAAAAAAATTATCTTTTTACCATAACAAGACAATGTAATTAGATGTTCAGACATATGACCCAATCCATCCTTCAAGCAACCTGAGCTCTCCAGTATTTTGGGGGACTACAGGCTTAAATCTTTCACAAAAAAAGGTAGCAGAGGTTCCCTCTCTCCAGCGCAACTATCCCCAGTCAAAGGGGTTACATCCAGTGAGGTTCCTTTAGCGACTACTGGTTTTAGTCCAGACTTCTGCCATATCTTTAGCAGTAACCTGAAAGAATATAAAATAAATGCCAACAACCAAATAAATAAATACCTCAGGTGACCAAATGTGAAGTGCTAAGTGATGATGAAGGTAGGTTGATTAAAATTATCTTAAGATATGCTAGCCTCATTTGAACAACACATATCTTAATGCAGATGAACTCAAGGTTACGCAGGAATGGAGATTTTAGGGCACACCAAGTATGAAGGAGTACATTTTAGAGAGTAGTGGTACGATAAACTCGGGGCTGGGGGCAGTGACGCTGCACAGCTGGCTAAAGATGAGTTTCCTCTGCTGCTGTGAAACCTAGAATAAATGAAAGCTATGAAGAAGAGCGCTGCCCTTGCTAGCAGCAGGCCACAGGCTCATTGCCAACTTCACGAGGCCCCGGTCCTGGCCTGTGGGGCTTGTTAGCAACCTGTGGTGAGAACCTGCCCTGTGAACTGGAGCTTTGTGCCAGACGGCTATTATGAACTGGAGTTTCTCATGGAATAATAGCAAAGGCCTTGAAAATACCATTGAAAACAGAGGACCCAACATTATAAACAGCTAACTGATGGCCAATTACTCCTTGAAAAAACCACAACATCACAAGTTACGAAGATGACTGCTTTGAGCATAAGCAAAGGAAAGCGGCAGCTGAGCTAGAGAAAAACATGGAAGCAGCAGGAGGAGGTTATTTGCTGACACCTGAGAAAGTAATGCTCTTCAGTATCACAAGGTATGCGTATGGCTTAGGAGGTGGAGACCAAAGGCTGCTAGCTGTTCAGAAATCCTCTTATAAAAGGAAAAAATTCTGAATTTGGGGAAACTGTCATCATGGGGACCTGCAGTCATGACGTCTGTGTGGGATTGCCAGGGCTGCAAGCTGCCTGCTCCAGGGGCCCTGCCTCTCCCTGCCTGCTTGCCCCAGGATCCCTGTCTCCTCAGGGGCCTCTTGACCTGCCTGCTTATCAGGACCATGTACATTAGGATTGTGTACATGCGTTCCCCGCCCCCCCCTCAAATTCTGTGTATTTTTCCTCTCTGACACTCTTAAAACACTTAAATAGAGCCTTATTGCATGTAAGCACAGCTTGGCTAATTATGATTCCTGGGTAGAAACGGTGGTTTAATAGATAAGGTTATAATGCAATATAATGGTTAGAAGCTGAAATGAAAAAAAAAAAGAGAACTGAAATCTGAGGTAACTGTGAAGCACTTTATCTAGGATGTGATAGGTTCACTGTCAGACAAGTCTTTAAATCAAGACCGAGAGGCTTTCTATGGATATGTGCTAGCTCAGCTGTAAGTTATAGGCTCCATGCAAGCAACATTTACTGGCGTTCTCTCAGAATTCAGAGAAGTGTGGCTGGATTACCATAACAGCCCTTTGTGGTATTAAAGTTTATGACTTCATTAATCTGTTTTGTAGGAACTTGAACCTCCCATTGAAGTCAATGATAGCTGTAAGATGCTCTGTACTAAGCACAGTCTGTGTCTTACACACTATCAAAGTTGAAACTTTCAGAATTAAGGGGCGCTTTTGAAATGTGGCTGAATACTGTCGAGTTAGTCACTGAAGCCAATGACTGAGGGTTACCTTTGATACCAGCTGACTCAGTGAATTAACCAGCTGCTGCGTTCTCTTTCTTGCATATTTCTTTTCTGGGGAGGAAAGCATGCATGGCTATTTAAAGTATTACACTTCAACATCCTTTCTAGTATCTTTCTCCCAGTGGTTTCACAGTGCTTAGTAAGCATGTTGAAAATCAGGAAGGTCATCTGTTCATTGGTGTTTTATAAGTAAGTAGAGGCGGAACCCCTGGTACTTCTGTCACTCTAAAAATCTTGATTTTGTTTCTTCAGTTGCAAAACCGGTAACGTTGTGTAGCAGACAGTTTTCATGACAGCAGTAAAGAATATCCAAATCTTACTCAACTAAATGATATAAAATATTGGTCAAGCAAAGAAGCTGTCTTACTACTTTTAGGTCAGTGTGTATCTCATTCCCCTTCATTATCTCCAAGATGTTTCTTGCTGGCTGAGCCTTAGAGTGAATTATAGACTGGTTGTAGCCATACTCAAAACTCTTTTAATGTGGCTCTGTTGTTTCACTGAGGTTTTGTTGAGAGTTTTCTAATTTACATACTACATAACCAGTCAGTCTGGGTCACTTGATCCCAGATATTGAAGCAAAAGTGGCTAAACTTTCCTTTACTCTATGCCATGAAGTTGGCTAGTACTAAGATTTGCAATTGTGCTACATGAATTAAGGAGTATACATAACCTTGCAATGAAGCCTCCACAGAACATGAAGATCAATATGGCACGTTCTATTAGGCTCCTCAAATCTCCTAGCATAGTATATGTACTATATATTTTTGTCTGAAAGTTCACTTGTATTGGTAAATGAACTAGCTGAGCTTTTCCTGTTGTTCGTTTGTGTTTGCTGGAAACAGCAGGACATCTGCAGCTAAAATTCCTCATCTGTGAAACTGTTTTCTAATAATTTTTCAACACAGATCTATCTGACAAGCGTCAGGACCTAATGCAATTCCAATCACTTAATAAAACCTGTAATGAGTCATATTTATCAGTTAAACAAAATAGTTGGTTTTATTTCTGGATTTGACATTTTGGAGCTCACAAAAAGCAATGTATTTACTTTTTCTATTTGTAGCACCAGAAGGTGTAAAAAGAATCTCAGGTCTCTCTTAATTCAAACAGATTCAGGGTCACTCATTATTCACAGCTCTTACAAACGCTGGGATGCAGAGAAACTGTGGCTGTTACCTGGAGATGTCCTTGATTTCTATGAAGGCTGCTATTGGGAAATGTGTGTGTTAGTGCTAGCACAATTTTGGCAACCTCTGCATGTCTTGTGAGCTTTGCAGTGTTTTGCTTTCTTACATCTCAGCAGCTGGAATGGAGAGATTTCATGAAAACCCATGAGTCTGGATTTTTAAGCATTT